TCCCGGCAGCTGGGAAGTCCCACGCAGGGCGTCCGCTCGTAGGTGGGGTCTGCGTCTGTGCTGTGAGGGGGCCCGGCTTTTATACAGTTTAACAAACAAGTCTAAACAAAATGCAGGGGAGATAGGTGGTAGATTGATGTGCCTCACTCAGGTGTGTCCGGATCTGGCCAGGATCTGGGCATGTCTGAAGAGTTTCTGTTTTTCTTTACATTTGGGATTTATAGTTACTTCCTGTTGTGTACTTACAGTTCCCAGGGATTGTTCCCAGGGTTACATTTCATGCTGATAAGATGCTGGTTGCTGGTCGTGGAATTCACTCAGAAGTCAACTTTGGTTTGAGGCCTATTGTTTGGGCCTTTTTTATTTCAGTCAACTCAGTATCTTCAGCTCCGGAATCAGGGCCAGCACTTTGAGACGTAGTTGCATTAACAGAACTTGCCTATAGTAAGTATAAAGACAAAGTTTTATCAAACTTTATGAACAGGTTTAAAAAAAAAAGACAAACCACAAGAGAGAAGAAAACAAGGAGACAGCTCTGCAGCCAACAAAGTTCAGTATGTTCCACACTGTCTTAACAGACAGGAATTTAGTCACCAAATGCGCATGCCAGTTAAAAATCATCACTTTCCATTATACAGATAAAGTTCCAAGAGAAAGACATAGAGGGTTACTGAGTCCTGGCTCACTTTCCTATGGGAGTGATCTTCTACAGGAACTCAAACAGTCAAGCTGCAGCTGCTTGCCTTACTACTGAAACAGGGTAAAACAGGGAAATGAAACTAAGTCTTGGAAACAATGTGCAAGTTAAAGCTTCCCTACGTTGGTTTTCTTCCCACCCCCCCAGAAAAATACACCATGGTGCAGCTGCGGCACATTTTGCTTGCGCGTGCGATTTTCATTTTATTTTTTAATAATTAGTTAGCACATGATTAGAAGACAGAAGTTTTTGATTACATTACTCGGAATGATCACTTTTAGCATAATTCCTCTTTCCTACTAAAGCTCTCAACACTTTATGCTACAAACTAGAACTCGAGGCATACTTACCCCTCTCTTTTGGACGGTGAAACTTTTACCAACGTTGGTATGTGCCAGTTCACGGTCCATCTCACTCATGTATGACTTGAGACTGCCTATAAGCTCATTAGGCGGCACCTTCTGGTCTTGCCTTTGATCTTCCACATCTAAGTCTTCATCATCCTTGTTCGAGAAATCAAACTCCTCCTCTTCATCCAGACCATCAGAATCCAGCTCTTCTGAGTCTGCCCCTACATATATTATTTTGTGTCAGTACAGATAGCAAACAAATCAGCACAGCGACCATGGGTGACGGATGGATGACCCAGGAAAGCCAAATAACCATGAGATATTCTGACAAAAGAAACAAAGAAGCAATCTCACCTAAAATTCTGACTAACGCTTTTGTAAAAGAATCTACATCAAAGGTAACATGGGATTCATCAGGTGACCTGATATCTAAAAAAATTTTTAAATAAATAAAGCTTTTAGGCTTGCATAAGCTGACACAGACATAAGCCATACGGCATACAGATTTCTCTCGAGCCTAGACTGAAGGTGGAACATTTGAACTGATGGTCTTGGAAGTGCTTAGAAGTCTGAGGCCTGTATGAACTAGGAACGAAACAGCAACGGGAGGAGTTCCTGGCACGAAAGAGAAAATAAACCCAACAACTTTAACCGTTTGTTGTGGTCAAATAAAAATTGCACCGAAGGGAACCAAAATAAACATGCCCGAATCTTTCTGGAACAAAGTGGTGGTGCTACACCTCAGACAAAGATTTAAAAAGCTGAGAATCTTGGAGGTCTCCTGCCTAGAAAGAACACCGCAGGCTTCATTCTAGTCTCTTTTAAGGCTCAGTGGTTTGCCCCCCCTTTTTTTTTTTTTTTTTTTTTTTTTTGTTCCTTTATTTTTTAAATAACTGAAAAAAGTCCACATTATAACTCAGACATTGACACTAACAGTAATTAAAAAGGATCAAACAATTAAGAGTATAAATTGAGTAGACCCTTATACGCTTGATACAGTTTACACAGCATTATTTTCTCAATATTAAAGCTACTAAAAAGAACTTGGACAATATGCTCCTACCTCACCCTTTGTTTTTTAAAATTAAAGGCCTGTCCACACCAGTCACACACACTTTCTTAACTCCAGCACTTAATCTAGTGGCATTCTGCTCTTGCCTAACTAGTTAGGTATCTTCAGTTAGCACTCCCACTGTTGGGAATAATGACAGGGATCCACCGTGATTTGATTCTTTTCTCCTGCTTCTAGGTGTACAGTATGTGCATTACAGAATCAACCAAAGGGCTACAGCAGAATGAAAACACATTCTACACCACGCACCAAACTTAAAAATACTACTGCCATGGCATTTCTGCTCCTTCACGTGGTGAGACTTTGGATACAAAAGCCTTCATACTTTCAGCAACTGCTTCCAAGTCGTATTTCTGCTCTTCCTCATTGGAGGAAGGAAGGGACTCATTTCTTGCCTCCTTCAGCATCTGATCTAGATCACCTGCTGTAATCTCCAGCCAACTGTCATCTGAAAGAATGCAGGGCATATTTGTTATTCGGCACAAATCTGTCAGCCCACAATGGCCACAAAACCCAATCCAGATGGCTGAGAGTACTGCTAGCATTTTGTAGCTTATTTTTGCACTGTCAAGTTTTCGTGCTGATACAAAATAACACGGGGTATAAGGCAGAGAGAGGCTGAGAAGAGTGTTCGGATTTTATTTTACTACTTTAAAACTCTGCTCTACATGCAGCTTCAAACTAGCAGAAATTGTTGTAGCCACAGGTAATCCTTCTGCCACTAAATGAAAGAAGAAAAGGCTTACACTATAAAGGGAGACCTTCCACTACAATCATTAATGCTGAATGCTGGATTTGCATGCTAAGGCATCATTCAGAAATCCAGATGTGACCTGTGCTGCACGCTGGCAACAACTGCGTTCCTGTGACATGAGTGAAAAGAACCTATTATGTAAAGTTTATGCTGGTCTTGTATTGGCCATCAGAGTAGACCAGATAGTAATTAACTTTGTATTGTCAGCATTGGAATTGATTTATTATTATTCTTAAATGTTTAAATACCTCCTGTCTGGTATCCAGTTGACACAAAGGACTTGATCTGGTGTAAGTGTGCACGGTGTTATCAATCTAGTGGTATCAAACCAGAAACTGGACTGCGTATTTCGCCAGTTCACAGCCCCGAGCTTATACAAACGAACTGGTTGCCTTAATCTTAAATGATGGCCCATGAATAACACCTCCAGCAGTCACATGGTAGGAGACTAAATCGACAAAGAGACTGGTACAGTGCTGTGAACATTCACCCTCTTCCCCAACAAATACTCATTTGTGATAGGAACAGTCCACCCCCCATCCGGCTCACCATCCTCTGGAAAAAGACAAGCTGCTTCTCTCTCAAATTCCTTCAAATCAACAGTTGTTGTCTGTAGCAGTGTCAAGATTTCATCACCTGGGCTCACTTCAAAAGAGCAGGACGAAAAAAATTCCATTTACTGAAATGGATTTTTACTAGCATTACGATACCAGTGGCATCACACACACTACACGCAAGTTTTCACTCCAATTCCTCAAGATTCCTTCTGTGCAAAGACATCAAAAAGGTAAGTGAATCTGGGGAAAGTACCAGAATACTACACCAATAGTATTAGCCAAAACAGGACACGGTCAGTTACTGTTACTCCTTGTTGATGACTCCAAAGCAAATTTCTCATGCTTCTTTTGTTATTTATATTTATTTTGCCTTGGTAAACATTAGGACTGCCAGATCCCAAACAGCACAAGACTGGAAATTCAAGCAACTAACAGTCAAGATATTATGAGTTGGCAAACCCTCAGATATTTTTGTAATGATTTATTTTTTGGATTTGATCTTTTAGAGAAATTTACAGCCAGCTGCCTCTCGTAAGTAAAGGAGACAGATTACTCCATATTTCTTATTCACTAAGATTGATTTTCAATTAAGCTTTTAAACACTTTCTACAACCAACCAGCCAAATGATGCTTTTCAGTCACCTCTTAACCCACTTGGAATAGCTTAGCATTTTACAAAACCAAGATAAATAGTTACTCAAGCAGTAACTTCTACTAGCAGAGTATTCTAGAGGAATTAATACCCCTATGTCTTAGCCACAGCACCTATGTTAAGTGTACAGTGGAGAAAAGGGTTCGGGTTCTTTGTAACAAGTATTAAAAAAGGTAAATTAAAGTACTTGTAGGTACTGCGTATGGATGGTTACTCATGAATTTCAAGTAGCTCTTACCTTTCGGGCTTGGTAACAGACTGTTGGAAGTAATCTTCTGCCCTGTGCAGCACTTCCAAGTATTTAGCAGATCCTTCAATTTCTCCCTCCCCTTCCTTTCTCTAAAGAATTCTCCCTCCCCTTCCTTTCCACAGACATGCTTCGTAACAATGACTATTTGTCAGACAGAAATTTAGTTCTGAGAAAAATCCCAACAAGTAATACTGCTGTGCCACGTATGCTTGGAACAGAATATAGGAAAGGGGCATAAGGTGTTTTCACTGTCAAATATGAATTGAAGTCTTGTGTTACAATATCATATGGTGTACACTAAAAACAATCAAAGAAAATACTGATTCTTACAACACGGTGTATTTACCATGCCCAAGTTACAATTGTGCAAGGATTGTGAATGAATCTCTTGGTTTTGGGGAACTATCCATACAAGTGGCATTGCAGTACTGTAAGCATATTCTCCTTCTCTTATATTTACAAGATATTAACCTAAGCATTCCGAGTTGTCTGATTCTATAACCTTCAAATAAGTAGTCAATTTATGACCAATTTGTAAACTTCAAATAAGCAGTCAAAGGCATCTTTTAAAAACAAAACAAAACAAAACAAAAAGCCCCACACAAACAAAAAATACACTTACATGGCCCCAAATGTATCGATGGGTGTTAAGTATAGATCTTAAAGAATATCTAATTCTAAATGCATGCAAATGAAATGTAAAACAGTTAAAACAGTTATACTGACACACAGCCACACTGTGGTTTCCTTTATTCAAGTGTATTTCCACTTTCTTTAGATGAATAATTTCATCTGCAAATCCTGCCTTTTCCTTTTTAATTTCCAAAAGAAATGAACTCATTTCAAAGGGGAACAAACTGCACAGATCTCCTGTAGAGACATCCATTAATTTCCCACAGACAGAAGCACCAGATTTCTTGCCCTGCTGTAACTACTTAGACAAGTTCAAGAGCTACAACATGTTTTTCCTGGCATGTTTAAAAGACAAACACACACACACAACTACACCTTGAAATAATTCTTTTTCTTCAGGTTGCTGAGGAATCTCACCCACAGGGGACCTCTTAACACATTTCTCTTGGAATCAGGAGATACTTTACTGCACTTGGAGCACAAAATTTCAAAGCCATGGGCCTGTATAAGAGATGCAACAACATGAGACTCTCCAGATGTGCCACATTTAAGTGCACCTTTAAATGACCGCGTAAAGAACTGACTGCCATCGAGCTCCTGATACTGCCACTTGAGAGAAGCAGGTGCCAAACCCGATTATATGTCAGGGAGCAGTATCTTGCTTTGGAAGTTGAAATCTGTCTTTCTGCAGCAATAATGGTTCATTTTGACTTCGCAAAGTTTCTCTACATGGGAAAAGCAACCTGGAAGACAGATCTGTAGTGCACAAGCTACTCCTCATACAAGCATGAAGGCTTGACCTGTACTTGTAATCTATATAAGTACAAGAGTGCTCTAGCCTGTAAAAGAAAGCCCCACAATAATGTACTTCCAGAAAAATGGTAACTGAATTTGCTCGCATTATTCTGTACAAGCAGGCAACTTACAAGCAGAGTAACTTCTTGGACATAGGTAAACAAGCAAACTAAAGACTAAGTACAAAATGCATAAAAAGTAATTACCAGCTTCATGCCCAGTTCATAGGCTTTGTATTGAGGGTGAGATGGGAGGGGCAGCGTGTATCCACTTTGACTCCCAAACTTATTTTCAGGAGCCTAGCGGTATAACTCTGTTATGCAAACATATCCAACACAACACTGCTTGGACAAGGAACATAAACCACTTCCTAAAGTAGCTTTCACAGAGCTGCGTAAGCACCGCTGAGAAGGGGAAAAGCCTTGGAATGAACACCTAGGGGTAGTTAGGAGCAACTCCTGGTGTTGGCTGGCAGTGCTGTCAGACTGCTCTGATCACAGAACTAGATGAATTTCCTTAGCGAGCATTCCAGCAGAGGAGCTACTAACAGTAACCTCCGACTTCAGAGGCACTTCTGATTAGCCATTTGAAAGCCTAGCTATGTCAATCTGAAGGCAGAAAAGCTATTTAACATAAAGAACTGGAAATGCATGTCTAGTGTCAAAAATAAAAAATAAGTCAGAAAACATTCTATTTTAACAATTAAATCCACATAGTTGTATCACCTGACCACAGAACCTTTGTCACTTACAGAACCTAATTCAGTGACAAGTTTCATCAGAAGGATCACTTACTATGGTCACCACACGCTCGTCTGGAGGGAAAGTCTGAAAAGAGCCCCACGCTCGTAAATCCACAGGCTCTCGCAGGTGAAAGGCCTGGACTGCTGCAGCCACCAACGAAGGGCGCTGCCTCAGCACTGCCACAATGCCTGCTGGAAGGTAGCAGTGGGCTCGGTGAAATGAGGTCTGAATTTTCTCAGGATACCTGTATTGTACAATAACAACATAGCGTAGTACGTGCATCGCAAGCTGAAACCACTCTTTAAGCTAATATTCCCATTTTCACTTTAATACTAATCTGTATTATGGGCCAAATGCCAGATGATTATTCTAAACTAAAGTTAAAACTCCACTAATCTAACACCTGGCATGTCTGTTTATACAGAACTACACATGGCTAATAAAAATTTAATCCCCACATTGGTAAAATGAATCACTGTGAACTTGACTAACATGTCCTACTCCACAGCATCCTTCACTGCACCAGGTGTAGAAGTCATCTGGCTCGTGCTGTCAAATCCTTGCAAAAAATAACTTATGGTGCTGAATAGACCTGTGAGAAGCTATCGCTCTGAAAATCGTGATGGTTCTACACTTTAGTTTGCAGTCCTTTTTCTCCCTCCTCAAAGGGCTCCTAAAGGCCCACAGAACTTCCAGATTTTTCAGTACAAGAAGGAAGTGAAGGCAGAAAGCTTGTCCTTGTCAGGTGTGGCATCACAGCAGTGAACCAGTTCCAGAGCCCCCAGATCACAGCACAGCCTACAGGGCACTGGTCCCCCTCTTCAGAAGAAGACCACAGAGAAAACACTAGTTTCTGAAAAGGAAGCCACTTTATCACACCTAACAGGAAAATGACTGAATACAAGAAAGCACCTCAGACAGCCCAGAATCAAAACTCACCGTTGCAGAAGACCAAAGTGAAACACCCACATACCCACTGATGCGCTTCTACACTGCTGTTGGGATGGGCTCTGCAGCCAGGAACTCCTCTGAACAGGTGGACAACAGCGTCACCGCCTGCGAGACTGTCAGAGTGGTGGCAGATAGGTCACGTTCCTGCTCCTGGGTCTCTGACAGCGGGATGAGGTGCAGCTCTCCTTTGTAAAAGAACACCTGGCAGGTAGCAACACTCTCATCAGACAGGATCAGAACAGTCACACACTAGGCAGCCGAAAATTTAATTTAATATACAAATGCACATGTTTAAACAGAGAGAATACCGAAGTACAAATAATACAGAAAACAGCACATTTTTTTTTAAATGCGAGTTGAGGTAAATACAGATGCCACAGACCATGATCCAACCAGTAAATAAAAAAAAAAAAACTATTTTAACTGCAACACGTTTGGTCCAATGTATTTGGTTTCGTTAATAACAGCAATAGCAAACATTTCTCTTCAACTAGAGATTTGCTTCAGGAGAATCAGCATAATTTAACTGCTGAAGAACAGGACAGGAACTGAAAAGCATTGTTTCAGGTGCTACACGTGACCTCTGTCGGTTCCCCATCCTAAGAACTGATTGCAACATTATCAACTTCCTCACTCCTTCTGTTCCCTCAACTGGAAGGAAAATATGGCCCTGAGAGTCAAGACACAGGTTTGCAATTAATTCCTGTGTTGTGTTCCACCCCTTTTCTTTTAAGAGTTTTGTGGGAAAAAAAAAAAAAGAAAAAAAAATTAAACAAATCTGTGGTAATGAAAAAGTAAGTTCCTTTCATTTAAATCCATTGCCAAGAAACTCTGGGACTAGCAATCACCCACAGCAAGCTGATGTGGCTGCAGAATGAAAGTCTACTGCAGACAAGACTAGTTGCACGCGTGTACACCAGTGTTACAGTCAACCAATGAACCTTACTTATTTCAACTTTACCAGCAGAGATTTAGGTTTTTTACCTCATGGCACACACAAGCTCTAGTCTAGTCAGGTGAAAGGGAGCTTGTTCAGAGACTACAGGAGAGAAGAAGTTAACTTTTGTGCCCCGGAACAGCTTTTTTTTTAAGCACTCCCTGTTAACTTTGTTTTGATGCCAAGTATCACCTCCACCTGGAAAGGGCGGCACAGAGAGCAGGGGGTTAGGTGCACGTTCTGAAAACTAGCTCCGTCAAGACAAATGACGCTGGATTCATTTCATCGCAGTGGTTTGGTGCTGCGATTGAGAGACGGAGACCCAGCTCGATGCAAGGCAGGATCCACTTTATTGAACACAACAACCGCTTTTATATTCCAAACAGACAAAGAGAGACGTGTGTTTTAAGCTGATTGGCACAATGGTTAATCACCTAATACATATTGCAAAAATTGAGCTCATAATTGGCTAATGTCTAAGGTCAGCTTGACTTTTTCTGCAGTTAATTTTCTGCTAGCTCACAGCATTCTTCCTCTTGTTTAACTTCTACTCCTACATCTTGTTTCTATAGCACAAGCTTATCTTTAGTTACGAAACCAGCCCTCCAGGAATAAATCGTCCTTGGCTTCAGGGTTGTGACAGTCTGTTTACAGATTGTGCAAGTTACGAGACGCCAAGTTGAGCACGTCCTTCCTAATCAGCTCTGTCTCGCTGCTAGAAGGAGAGACCAGGCTGCCCCCGACATCTCCCCCTTCTTGTTGCACAACAAGGATCCTTTTCACTGAGCTGGCTATCAGGTTCTGCACACACTGCAAAAAACAGGGTAAACAAAGTAACAAAAGAATGAAAACGACTAAAGCATACACAATCATTTTTACAAGGCTTCTCAACCATCCTGATAGGCCCCAGCCTCCAAACAGTTTATCCAGCCAATCCCAACTATCTTCTTGGTGAAGTTTGGAAACCCCCTCTTTGAGTTGCTGTATACTAGCGTGAATTGACTCAGAATGATCTGAAAGATTCATACAACACATACCGTCAAAATCCTCACAACCATGACCTTGAGCTAAAAGCAAAAAATCTATAGCGGCCCTATTTTGTAATGTAGCATGGCGAACGCTATCCACATCTAATAAGAGACCAGACAGTGCCTGACTTGTAGCGTTAGTTTGTTTTGCAAGCCAGCAGCCTAGTTTGTCTAGAGTTGCTAAAGCTCTGCCAGCAGCAGCTCCGGGCAGGAACAATGAGGCTGCAAAACGCTGACTGAAAGACCAAAAATCCACTTTATCATCGCAGTCGGAGGTATAGGCATGAACACTACGTCTTATTCTATGAGTGAGACGGTGTTGTAAGATTGAGGAGGTGTTAGGAGTGAGTACCGAGAGGCGCCCAAGACTACAGGGGCCTCCCCTTATGTGAGAAGGAATAATAGGCCAAGCTCTGTCCCCACAAAAAAAAATATTCCTGGGGGTAACAAAAGGGGGGCATTAGTAGATCGAGACAAATTTGATGCCGTATAGTTGCACCAGCTACTAGCATTTCGAAAAACGGGATGAATAGGAGAGACATCCCATGCTTTGGACTGTTTTTTCCTGTATAATTGAATTTCACACAAAAGTCCATCTTTATAGACCCTAAAAGTTTGATTTCTTGGGGTTCCAAAGCAGCAAGCGGAAGATAGGGAGTCCACATGTCCCAGCATTCTGTTACATTCTTAGAGGCATTCCCGGGTAGAAATTGTGCCTGGAGGCTCTCAGGTATTGGCCAACGCTCCAGGGGCAATCCCACAAGGCATGTGGAAAAGGGGTTGCTAGGGGAGGCTGTGGCCAGACACAAAGTATCCTGTCCGGTAAGATTCGCCAGCGTTATCCACACATTAACCTTAGGTAATGCCGGTGGGAAAGGGTTGCCAAATATGTTTCCAGCCATCA